CTCTCCATCCCTGTCTGGTCTTCATGCCACGGTCCCTGGGAGAGACCGTGCACCAGAGCGTTCCAGTACTGCGTGGCCAGCCACAGCAGGAACTGGCTTCTGCTCTCCCACTCGAGTCGAGACAGGACCGCGCCCATGACAAGGGCGATCCTCAGCTGCTGGTTTTTGATTGGTGGGACGGACACTGAGCAGACACAACTTATGCCGATGAGCCTCAATGGACTTGCTTGCAGGTCGGTATTTACTGTTTAGGCATGCAAGACTCCAGAGTGAAGTTCAGCCAGCTCGAACAAGGCATGGTTTTCGAGAGAATGATTTAGAACGGTTAGCTGCTCGCTGTAAAATCGGGCGAATCAGGCCTCGCGCTACACTATATTAAAAAATACACGTAGTAAGTATCCAATGTACGAGTATACGTATCACCAATTCTGTAGATCAAGCACCTCCACCACAACACACAGGCCACAGCACCAAACTCCTGAAGCCTCACACTGCGCCAGCGGCCTCCACCAGCTTCGTCTCCGCACTGAGCCGTTCGTTCACCTCTCATCTCTCCGCGTACGTCTCGCACAGTTCGACCACCGTGATCCTCTGGTCACAACATATGGTCAACTGACCACAAATGCAGGTGTCGACCACCGCACCGTCTCCAATGCCATTCGATGGCGGCGGTGGCGGCGGCGGTTGCGGTGGTGGTGGTGGTGGTGGCGACCAGGTGGCTGCGACCCGTGTGGGCTTGCCAGGTGCAGCGTAGGGTTAGAGTGGTTAGAGCGAGCTGGTTTGGGGTCATTCAGGGTCACAGAGATGACAGCAAAAACGACCCGCAGCTGCTGGATGTTTGGTGGTGTTCTCGATAGCGTGGATTTTATGTTAATCTACGACTGTTACCTGTTTCTTTTTATGAACGACTATTCGTATTACCTACGTACGACCCCGTTTACGTTAACCTTAGCTTACCCTGTCACTCTGATATTTGTCACCCGCCGCCTTTCTCATGGTATGTTTTCCGAAAACAATATTAATTTGTCCGTCTCAGCAGTTGTTTATTCATATTCTTTATATTTTCCAGTGCTCCTCCGTAGCAGTTATTTGGTCGGTGCGAGCTTATTTATTTTGTGTTAATGTGTGGCATTTGCAGACGGTATGCAAGGCATCGTGATGGCACGGACTCGAATGGCTTTCGCTGTTACCTTTATAAAGGAACAATTTTGTCGTGATTGACATCTGGCTTTGAAATCACATTCACAGAATTCTAGGACAATTATGAGTGAAACACGGTAATTACAGACCACGTTTAAAAACGAGTTTATTGCAATGCCTGGAAATCTGCTTCCTCTCCCTCTCTCCCTCCTTCCCTTCTCCCACCCCCCCCCCCTCTCTCTCTCTCTCTCTCTCTCTCTCTCTCTCTCTCTCTCTTCTCTCTCTCTCTCTCTCTCTCTCTCCTCTCTCCTCTCTCCTCTCTCCTCTCTCCTCTCTCTCTCTCTCTCTCTCTCTCTCTCTCTCTCTCTCTCTCTCTCTCTCTGTCTTGCGCGCGCGCGCTTCGCGTGGTACTGGACGCGTAGGTATTTTATTTATTTACTGGAGTCATTTTTTAATGGTCATAGAATGACCGCGGACTTCGAAAAACTCTCTCGTAAAGCCAGGGATATTCAGTTTCTCGAGCTCTTTATACTCTGTCGTATAACCCCACGTGGTAATTAGACGGTTTGCATGAACACGAGGGTCCTGCTGATTCGTGACCTGGTATTATTTCGACTATATATTTTTCAACTTTTCTGGGTCTATATAAGGGTAGCCACTAGCCACTCATCTTACAAGAAACTATACATATATGTATAGTTTCTTGTAATATGAGTGGCTACCCGTTTTGATTCGCACTCAATAAGGTGTCGTCTGAACGGTTTCCCTACCGTCTCACATTGATGTTGATTCCAGCCTGCTATAGCTTTGCTGCTTTTCCTTTCGCTTGCTCTGGGGCTATGTGATTTTTTTCTACATATGAAAATTAAAGGTCAGGTAGCCGATAATTATTCTTGAATTGGGTTTTGGGCCTACTCTCCAATGCTATATCAACCCTCGCCCTGGCAGGGCATTTTTCATAGCACGGCCTGGCAAGGGGGGGGGGGGTCGGTGCTACTGCGATTCCCCTGGCGTTTCGAAGCTAAGCGTCGTAGCGCTTCGCAACAAAGACCAGTCGATTGCTCTCAACGAGTATTCGCGATTGGTTGCATATTTTTGACCCTAGGTCAATATTTGACCCAGTTATATGACTGGTCAAAGGTCAAATTTCGGGGAAAAGCTATAATTTTCCAAGATACTGGGGCAATATTGGCAAATCTGCGACAGATAGCGACATATAACATTCATTACCGTGTTTCTCAACGAATTAGCAACAAAATGATGTAAAGTTCAGTGCATTGCAGTTATTACTGGTGTGACGTAGTTCCCGGGAACACGGGAGGTCACACACGCCGCCGTCGAGGACGGTCGTTATTGACCTGGGTTGACCTTGTAAAGGTCAAGGAACAGTTTTGAATGCGTTTAGGTAGGTGAAAATTGAACCACAGATTCGGATTCAGGACCTCAAGAAACCCCACTAAACACAGCTCATATCACAGAGGTCAGCGTGTGAACATGCGAAGTCATTGACCTTGGTTGACCTTAGAAAGGTCAATACGCAATGTAAAGATTCATGTCTTGTCAAAAGCTGACATAAATCACACGGAATTGTTTCGTTCTTGTCAATGGTATCACGCCCAGTTACTACACGGAATGTACGATTTTGTCATAAGCGGTCGGAGCTTGTGCCTATTATGACGTCATAGCTCGGTGACCTGACATGACCCGAAGTTTTTTTTTACTAAAAGTTGCGCAAAATAGGCTATTGAAAATTTCAGCACGATCCGATCAATAGTTCGGCGCCCATCGCAAAAAACTGGGGGGGGGGGGGTCGCATCGACCCCCCTTCTCCCTGCCGATTTTGTTCAGGAAGCGTCCCTGTTTCGCGGCTTGACGCTGTGTGACGCCAGCGGTGTCGTGCCCGTGGTATTGGGTTTCCATGGGAACATCAACAAACTCGTAAGCTCTCCCATGTTAGAGCGTCAGAGTTTGTTGATGTTTCCATGGAAACTCAATACCACGATAGCTAGCGTCGGTTAGCGTCAAGCCGTGAAACAAGGCCCATGTAAATCTCCTCAGTCACGTCAATGGAACTTTTATCAGCCAGCCTACTTCCTCCACTTCCGTCAGATAGCGCTGAATCAAACTGGATAGCTCGTAGGTGGCGCTAGTGCTGCGCTCACGCTCGATTGCTTCTCTGTGACAAGTGACAACGGCACTCGGTGCTATAAGCGCTAACTGCCCCTCGTGCTTTTGCTGGTTCATAAGCGTCCGGGTGCCCAGCGCCTGGGACTGGGTTGACTGTTCTTACTACCGGGGCACGCCTGCCCTATGGGATCGGGCTCAATTATCCCAGTCCCAACACAGTGTCAGAGTGCGGTGGGCAGTTTTAGGTCAGGTGCATTGTCACCCGGGGTAAGGGACGATTAGTAGGTTTAGACGGCTGGGTGACCTTGCCTACCGCTCCGCTACACTCCCGTCTTTTATGGGCTAGGCTCAGCCGCTGCGTCGCACCACTTACCAGTCGGTGCTGGCATCGAAACTCAAATCAACAAAATATGTCTCTTCCCTTAGGCACCTCATCCCAGATGGATGGTCCTTATATAGGTTTACTGAAACGGCCTATATCCTATACCCTATATCCTATACCTTTACCTATATCCTAGCATCCTCCCGGCTCTGAAATGGTCTTATTGGGCCGAAAGGGCCTAACCCAACAAAACAAAAAACAAAAAACAAAAACTGAAACGGCTCTTCTCAACAAAACAAAAGCAGAAAGTTTTAGGGTTAAGTTCAAATTTCGGTTTGGGCGGCATATCAACAGACCAACACCACTGCTCCCGAAAGAACGCTTACATCTTTGGTAAATATATTATATTGATATAGCCAGACATGTGCATGGATCCGAGAAAATGGATCTGGGATCTGATCCCACGGATCCTGATCTCGGATCCGACGGGATCATAGATCCAGCTCTGTAACTTATCGAGAGATCCGTAGGGATCACAGATCCGAGTCTCATTTTTTACTTGAGATCCAGTGAGATCATAGATCCGCGCTTATTTTTTGTCATGACATAAATCCCCCCAAAAACACTTGCTTCAACTAAAAACGTTCCGGTTTAGTGATTTTATGTGATCGCACGTCATAATCCATAGTTTTGTGGCACTTATTGGCATAGAAACCCTTTAAAACCTGGTTTCAAATGTGGTGCATGATGGATCCACTCGGATCATAGATCTAGGTTCTTGGTTTATCGTCAGATCATATGAGATCATAGATCCAAGATACATTTTTCACGCCGGATCCGGTGGGATCATAGATCCCAACCTGTACTTTGCTTCGAGATCCACTGAGATCATAGATCCATCACTCGGATCCATGCACATGTCTGGATATAGCCATTAGCCATGAATTTATGGAGCGACTGCAAGCACTTTATTATTTCATTTTCACGTGAGTTTTATGCACACTTCGATGATCTCTCTTCAGGCTCAGGACCCGAGAAAAAGCTGCTTACCCGTCTCCCTACGAACCATTTCGCTGCCCACCTGAGGCAAACCCCCAGTCATGCAGGTCCCATTCCCAGGCCCATTCTATCACCTGCGTTCCTTTCCTGGTCCACCGCCCTCCACGGTCCGTGGGTCCATTCAGTCCCCCCCCCCCCCCCCCACCTCACACCTTATACCGCGACCTCCGGAGCCGGAACCCCCCTCCCCCCCCCCCACCGGACCAGGCCCGCCCGCCCACACAGTGCCGAATTCTGACTCACCCTCCCACATACTGCGTTCCGCTGTACCGCCCCCGCCCTGCAGACTCGCCTCGCCAACATTAGACCCTGCCAAATCTGCCGGGGCGGCGACCGCGGGCGGCCGGTTCCAGTGCCCAGTCGCAGGCCGGTATGGTGCTTGGGGGTGTCCGCTGGTGCACCGCTTGAAGGCGAGGTCGCGTGCGTGTGTGTGTGCGTGTCTGTGAGAAAGGCGAGGGGCGTGGTAGTATCAGAAGAGAAGACTCGGCTGATTTCAAAGGTAAGACCAGACGGACAGACCTGGATCTTCTTTATTCGTGTATCTCATCTATAAGCTAGCCGACGCACCTGGACACACATAACTGGATAATTTCGTGCAAAAACCACGACGAATTTACAAACGAAACACTCCAGCAACGCAAGCATCAACATTTTCCGTGGGGTACTACCAAAAACACTAATTTGCCTCTCGAAGCTGCCGTCTCGGGTTCTGGTGGATGGCCTGTCCAGCGCGGCCCCGCCCTCCCACCTCCCCACTGCCGCGCCCGCCCCTCCCCCTCCCCCACAATGCGCATCTGAGCGGCACGTACCGTCTGACCTCGTCACCCCCTGCTGTGTTCGGGCATACTTTCCCCACAAAAAGATCGCTCCCCCGGCACTTCCTGCGCAAACCTTGGATTCTTCGATATTCACGCACCAGTTCGACGCTTCACGTCAGTTAGCGCACGGTGTCCTCACTGAGCTCCAGGGTCGTCCATGGACGACCTTGGTCGCTAACTTTGAGTAAGCCTTCAGCTCTTTTTGCTCTATGTGACTGTAGGTAGGTCATCTAGGATAACTGCTCAGTCCGGGGGAAACCTAGCGGTGATAACGAACCGGACTATTTATCTTTGCCTGTAACAGACCCCGATCATGGCCATGGACTCGACCGGACCGCCTCCAGGGGCGCGTCTCCCACCCGACCTTGACCCACCAGAAGGCCGCGCTCTCATCCTGATGAGCCGGCCTGATGGCACTCCACTGCGAGGGAACCCGTTCGCCATCATCAGGGAAATCCGCTCGATCTGTGACTCGGAAGTCGAAAAAAACAAACAACTCGGATCTGGCAAAATTCTCATCTCGACCTTCAACAAAGACCAAAGCTCTGCCCTTCTCTCCTGCCAAACCATGCTCGGAAAACCTGTTTCGGCTGTTCTTGCAACCAACCTGATGTCATCGCAGGGTCTCATTCACTGTCCGGACCTCAGCGACCTCTCTGACGAAGAGCTCCTCACCGAACTAGCCCCGCAGGGTGTTATCGAGGTGCAGAGGCTCAAATCCAAGGACCGAACTCCAAACCCCCTGATTCGACTTCGCTTTAAAGGACTCGATCTCCCAAGAAAGCTCCTCTGCGGGTACCTCTCCGTCCCTGTTCGACCCTGGATCCAGCTGCCAAGGCAATGCCGTAGGTGCTGGAAGCTAGGCCACTCCATGCGCTCTTGCCGACGAAAAGAGACAGTCTGCGGGCAGTGCTCTGCCAGGGACAGCCACCCCACAGGTGACTGTACCTCGGTCCCAAAGTGCCCTCTCTGCTCTGGTCCACACCCAGCATGGGACCGAAACAGCTGCCCCGTCTGGAAAACCACCAAACGAGACACTCGAGAGCGAGCGCCATTCCAACCCCCGCCGCTCAACTCCACAGCTTGGCCTCCACTTGAGAGTCAGCACCGAACGATGCAGCCCCCTCCGGCTCGCACAGACGCCTCTGTCCAGACAGATGGTGAGGTCATGGCCCCTAAGGCGACCGCAGTCCCTGTTCAGACCCAGACCGAGACAGCCAGCTCTCAGACGACCGACGCCAGCACCCAAACGACCAAACTGACCACCTTCGACTCGACCTCTCAAACTCGACCCGCCCGACTGGTCTCTGCCGAAGTCCAGACTGACACCCCCGACTCACCGACACCAACCACGGACCCCGACGACTTCGGCTGCTCTCGAAGCAGGCCGTTCACCCGAGGCTACACGGCGAGCTTCCAGCCTGACAGCCCCCGAAACGACACCGACGATCCCGATCCAGACCTGATCCCGAAGAGACGTCCCAGGGGTGAGATCCCTCCACCTGACATCGGGTCGCTGAAGTTTGAGTACGCCAGCGGCAGGCGACTTTCCTACCCTCCCTCCACCCTCTACTGGTTTGACCATGAAATCCGACTATACGACCTTGACCTTCGCCCAGAATCCAAAGCGTACAGGGCAGCCGTGGCTGGCTTCTATTTTGACGGACCCCCTCACCACGGACGCCGTATCTTCCTTCAGAGAATTCCTCCAACGGGTAACCACTAGCCCTACCAACATCGCTGCCTAGGAGTCGAGCTATGCCTCACGGCTACTCCTCCAGAGCCACCAAATTCCAGTCAAAGTTGTACCCCTGAGACGGGCGGGACATGACTGGGGCACCCGGGTCACACCGGCTGCCATAACCCGCTGGCTGTCTCACTCGGTAGGCCGGTTTTTCTTTTGGCCGATCCCTGCGAACAGCCTGCGCAATTACACTTTCACTGTCCACATTAGAGATATAACGTAACGTAACTATTGCGGGGATTTTTACTGTACTCGACAGTTTTTGCCCCTTGACTTAGGCACCAGGTTTTTTCTAGTTAGGACTTTTCCTGGTAAATACATCCCACAACAAACATCACACATTGCAACACCTCACACCATCAGCAGCAAGATTTACAGCAGCAAGTATGAATATTCTACCCCTTTCTGGACACCCTTGCCTTGTTAATCGGACGCCACATGAGCCGAATTAATTAAAGTAAAGTTTGCTTCTCTCTCTTGCTTGGGTCAGAATTAAATAGCTGACAGTAAAGTAAAGTAAAACGAAAGATCTGGCTCATTGCCAGCCTTAGTAATTTCCCCTTCCCTGGCGGTTGCCTTAGGCATGCCGGGAAGACTAAATTTTATAAAAAAAAAAAAAAAAAAAGAAAAAAAAAAAAAAAAATACTTTCCCCAGGGAAGTGTGCCATCCCGGCGCACCCAATGCCAATGGTTAGATGGGCGTGGCAGTTTAAGGAGAGGCGTCTCGTGCGTGGGTTGTATGTATATGTATGTATGTATTACAATCATGGACATTGGACAATCCACACGGGGCGTGGCGATTACAGTCCAGAGTCTGAGTCGGGTTGGAACAAAAACATGCAGGGGCTAGAATACAGACATACAGGGGCGGAGCTTCCTATACAGTTGGTGGGGCGGCTGCCCCACCAATAAGCGTTTTGCCCCACCAACTTGAGCTGATTTCTAAGATTTTGTTGCTTTGCAAATTAATGTTTTTCGCATTGAAGAGCTTTGAAACGTCTGTTTAATGCAAAATATTATATCTGTAATGATAGGAATTGATTCAGTGTGGCATTTCATGCAACTTCATAATCGGACATTGTGGGTTTGACAATTTTTTGCCCCACCAACTCCCCTGGAAAAGCTCCACCCATGCAGACATAACGATTTAATCACAGGACACTCACTCTCTCTATACATACGGGCAATTCAAGTCAGCGCGCCACACACGGCTGCGGATACCCCCTCCCCCTGACATGGGCCAGCGTCGGGCGGTCGTCATCGCCGGACAGACTGCAGCCTTGGCCGCACGGGCGAATGGGACGGGGCGCTGTTCGATGACGCCAGGTGGCAGACTGTTGAGCAGCGCCGCGGCCCGGTAGCCGAACCGTCGCTTGCCTGTCTCGAGCCGCGAGCGTGGGAGGTGGAAAAGGTGATCCTGCCGGGTGGACCTCTTTCGCGCGTCACTGTTATAAGTGAACATGGTAGCTAGTTCTTCGGGCTCGCCGTTCCTTATTATTTTCTGAGCAGTTACGAGGGTTTGAATATCGGCCATAGCTTTCGGAGGTATCCATCCAAGCGAGTCGCGGAGGCCAGACACGTGGTCGAATTTACGGCGGCCGAAGATGACCCGTGCTGCGAAGTTCATAATTTTTTGGAGCCGGTCAAAGTTTTTCCGGGAGCCATTTCCGTAGACAGTGAGGCAGCTTACTGGACGCGCGAGATGACAAGTGCTGTTACGATTGTTGGTTGAAAGCATCCCATCGCATTTGCATCATGTAGGGGAGGTAGCGTGGAAGTTTGTCTGCGTGTGTGGCGTAACGCATCCAAACTATTTTATTTTGTGTATTTTGTAGCTTCAGAATACCTACATGTGATGGCTTTAGCATTTCGATACCGACTGCTAAGCCCGCATAAACAACGAACAAAAACAATCTATATTAATAAGATAAATAAGAAAACCACATAAAAGCACAATAAAATGCGACTCAGATATTAAGCCGGAATTCTGTGCCGGAGCTCGGAAGGCAACCACCAGGCTGCAACTCCTTTGGCGTGACCGGTGACTGGCGTCGGCTGTCTCGTTTTTTTTTTTCCGGGCGGGCCGTTCCACCGTGCCGCTGTCTCGCTCCGTGTGGCCGTTTCTGGCCGTTCCGTGTGGTGTTCCGCTCCGTTCCGTGCCGATCTCCTCCCACTCTAGCCACGCAGTCTGTCTGTCGGTCCCACCGCGATGTAACGGTCCAGGGCAGCTGCTGGGAGCGCCACGCCGGGCTGCGGACTGGGGGGGAGGGGAGGGGATTCGTGAGAGAGTCGGGAATGGGGAGTTCAAACGGTGGTCTGAGAGCCTTTTGATAGTTGGGGAGTTGGGGAGTTGGATGGAATTTAATGGGGGATGTCTTTTTAGGTGATTTTGTTTTAGTTTCACATGCTCTGCAGACATGTTTATTAATTATACAGGGTGATGGATCTTAAGTTGTCATTGTGAAATATCAAATATTGGTCCACCACGCACAGTTCAAAGACTGTTTGCGCTGGCTGTTTCAGGCTGTTTCTCAAATCAATGGTTTCATCCGGGCTCAATTCCCGGACAGTGCACGTGGCATTGCCGCTACCTGGCCGCTTGGAACAAGCGTGAGAGTTCCGGTTAGTACTTGGTCCGCTGGATCCAAATCCAACCAACCAACCAAATCAATGGCATTTATGCATTACTTATGTTGTATAACCTCCGTCCTAAACACCTTTCCAAGTTGGGTCGATTTAAGCGTCTTCTAAATGCAGCTTCGTGATCTTACATAATTATTCCGACGTGCAGACTGTCTGGATTATAAATAAGCTCCGCAATGAATTAAGGGTTGTCTGCGCTAACCACAATCCCGGCCTGTCTGCATGACCCATCCCTTTACCCCATGACCCGGCCTTGACCTTCTCTCGTTTTTCTGCCACCCCAACCCGCATGTT